ACACATAAAATAATATTTGTATTTAATGTCCTAATAATATTGATGTATCACTTTTAGAATGTTATAAATATTGTGATAATGGTGATCTAATATGGAATACGAATACTTGTAATACTTGTGGATAAGGATTTAATTTAATATCTAATGAATGTGTTCCAATTTGTGGAGATCTGTTAGTTGTTGGGTATGAGTAATGTGATGATGGCAATAATATTTTAGATGATAAATGTTATAATTGTCAATTCTAATGTCCAATTAACTGTTAAACTTGTGACATAAACACTATACTACCTTGTCCAGATATTTGTGGAGATGGATTAATTACTGGTGATGAAGAGTGTGAGGATGGAAACGACATCTAATTTGATGGATGTTTTGATTGTAAATATTAATGTTAGACTTAATGTACTAAATGTATTAAGGGTAAATGTTCTGAATGTGCTACTTTAGGATGGTAAATTGATGTCTCATCTGAACCTTGGCTTTGTAAGGAAGTTTGTGGAGATGGTTTAAGAGTTGGAATTGAAGAATGTGATGATGCTAATTTCTATGACGTTGATGGGTGTCATAATAGCAAATTTTTATGTTGAATTGGATGCTCTTTTTGTGATTATGAACAGACAAAATCTTTGAGTTGTGAATTTGAAGGATTATAGCCATCTGATTATTTTTGTTAACCTATCCTAAATGATGGACTGGTTGTATGGGATCCATATGGATTCTTTTATGAAATAGCTGATTATTCAAGAAGGTGTGAAAGCTGTTCTTATTATTCTGAATGTGAATCGTGTGGAGGGGTTTATGGCAAATATGAATGTTAACCATTAGAATGTACTAGTTGTGTGAATAAAAATGCTAAGCTTGTATTGCTGGACAAACTCTTTCAACTAATAATATTTGATAACCAATTTTTGGTGATAATATAAAAGCCTAAAATGAATACTGCAAAGAATCACATGTGTTACCATATAGAGGATGCCAAAATTGTAGACCTAAATGTTAAGATTCTTGTTCTAATTGTTATATAATGTACTAGGATAAAATTAAATGACTTTCTATTTTATTCTAAATGTGGCGAATTTCTATTTTCATATGATAAGGAGTGCGATGATGGTAATTTAAATCCATGATGATGGTTGCCACTTCTGCTAATTGAATTGCCAAAAATCTTGTCTATTTTTTATTAAAGGAGTTTGCCTTGATTGTGAAGAAGGCTATGAATTAATATAGTCAAGATGTCATCCTATTATTAATTCTTTTGAATAATATAAATATTCCAATGATTTTGAATGCTTGTAATCACATAAGAATTGGATTATGAAAAACAGCAACTTCGGATAGAATGATGTCAATAATTATATTAATTTATAGAATTCTTCTTGTAAATTTTGTTTGATTAATTGTGAGATTTGCAATGAAGAATCTTGTATAAGCTGTGTAAAAGGATATTATTTAAATGAATAACAATAATGCTAATCTGAATGTGGTGATGGTATTTTAACATAAGATGAATAATGTGAATTGAATGAACAATATTGCAAATATATTCATCCTTAATATTGCTATAAATCTATAAATAATGTATGCATAAATTGTGATAATGGTTATTAATTTGATGAACTTGAAAAGTTATGTAAATTATCATGTTGAGATGGTGGAGATGGCATAATAATTTGTAATGAAAAATACTAAATACAATCAAAAATTGATTGTAAGTTTTAGTGTAGCGAAGATTGTTTGGATTGTAAAAATGGATTTTGCTTTTAATGTAAAGATTCATTTAATATATGGAATGGATAATGTCACAAAGTTGAGAAATTAATTAGATCACAATTGGAATGTAAAGAACATATTTAGGGTTTATGTATATAATGTTATGAATAATATGTGTTAAATTTATAAGGTGAGTGCATACCATCTTGTCAAGACAGCTGTGTCATTTGTAAATTTGGATAATGCTATGAATGCAAGGAATCATACTATTTATATTAGAATACTTGTTATCCAGAAAATGAATGCTCTTTGTACTTTATTTCTGATTTTTCATTATTTGATATTACTTGTAGAAATTTATAATCAATTGAAATATAAAGGAACAATCAACAATCTTTAGATTCTGATGAAATATCTAATCGCTTGTAATTTCTTTTTGGATTTGATTTTGATTTAATTGATTCACAATTTTTGAAAATTGGTTATTCTTAAATAAAACCTTAAACGGCTAATAAATTTAAATAGTTGAAGATGAGATAATTTACATTAAAATAGATAATAATGATTCAGATTCATATTTTATTCTTTAAGAGTTAAATTGTAATACTGATTGCTTCCTTTGTTTTGATACATAATGTATTCAATGCTAAATAGGGTATTTAATTGTTGACTTTTCTTGTGTTTCAAACTGTGGTGATTCATTAAGAGTAGGAAATGAATAATGTGACGATGGTAATATATATGAGTAAAATGAATGCTACGAATGTTAATATTAATGTTAGAAGTATTGTGAAATTTGCGAAAGAGGAAATTGTATTAAATGCATTTCTAATTTTGTATTAGATTCTCTCCAATAATGTCGTTAAATGGAATAATTATCAATTACTCAGAATTATGATTGTCGAATAATGTAAAATAATCAATGCATATTGTGTGAACATGGAAATCTTGAGTCTATAACTGGAATTTGCATCTTAGATTACCATTTAGAAAACTAATGTATAGGTCATTGCAATATATGTTTAAATTAAGAATGTCAACAATGTGAGTATGGTTATTACGAAACGTATTGTCTTTAGGGAGATGGGTCAAATCTTCCAATTGAGCGTTGCACTGATTTCAACTAATAATAATCATAAATTTGCAAATAATTTTAAGAATGTAATTAAAATTGCATTTGCTGTTTTTATTGTAAATTCTCTTGCGATACAAATTGTTATGATTGTTTTTAAAGAATCTGCTAGACTTGCTAAGATAGCTTTATTTTGAATTAACATCATTTATGTGATCCACTTTGTGGTGATAATTTTGTAGTTCCATTTTCAATAGAATAGTGTGATGATGGTAATTTCAATTCTCTTGATGGTTGTTATAAATGCAAATATGAATGTCTATCTAATTGTCTTGATTGTAATTAAATACTATGTCTTAAATGTAAAGAAGGCTTTGAAACCAATAAGTCTTATTATATTCCTATATGTGGAGATGGTATCATTATTTAAGAATTTGAGGATTGCGAAGATTTAAATGATGAACCTTATGATGGTTGTTATGAATGCAAATTTTAATGTAGACAAAATTGTAAATTATGTAGTAAAGGGGTTTGCTTAGATGAATGTCCTGAAGGAATGATTTATGTTGGTGATATTTGTATGCCGAAAAAATGTATTGATAATTGCCAAATTTGTGAGAAAGGAAATTGTTTTGAATGCAATATAGGATATTCTTATGATGGGTTAAAAGATTAATGTATTTAAGATAAATTATCAGACTCTTCTTTAAATGTATCAATGATTGAAATGGATGAAAACTAATACATATGTCGTCTTACAGAATGTGTTTTTTCACCAGCCCCTATTCTGTAAGTAATCTTAATTAACCAGACTTTTTCAAGATAATATGTGGAGATCTTCTTCGATTAACAAGTTAAATTGAAATTTGATGAAGAAGAATTAAAATTTCAATTCAATTTTACTAATTTAAAGTAAGGAGATTATATTATTACATTGCATTAAAAATAACCAATAAATTATGAAATAAATTTTGCTTCTTACATAGTTGAAATTGAAAATTTAGCCTCAATAAATGAAAAACCATTCTTGCAAATATTTTGCTCTTCAGATGTCATTAATTCTAATAACTAAACCTTTTAAAATAAATTTGCCTCTATCAAATTAAATTACCCTTAAATCTTATCTAATGAATAAAAATAAACATCTTAATTTATGCAAAATGCTAATAAAGCATTCATGTATGGAGCTATCTCAGTTAGTTTGGTTTCATTATTTGCAGGAGATTCTTCATTCTTTTTAGAAACACTTTATGTATTATAATAATAATCTTTCTTGAAATTTATTAATGTTGATTACCCTGAAAATCTTTACATTTATTTTGAGGCTTCTGATATGTTAAGTGTTAGTTCATATTTTAGTTAATTAAATTTGGATTACTATTATAATTTCATATCACAGAAAACAGAACCTCTTTAAGTGAACGGAAAATTTGAACTTTATGATGTAGATCCTGATTTGATTATAAGTTTACTTCCTTAGGTTTTTTAATGTTCAGGTATTGTACTACTTTTGATTTTGAGCAGATTCATCTATAGGTTATTTCATTTGATTATGTCCAAAAAATAGATCTATGATTACTTTAATTCTAAATCATAATTCTTAATAAAATCATTTTTAACAATATTAAATACTTTGAGAATTTAGATGAAGAATTTGATAAATTTAAGAAGAAATTTAAACTCTAACTATATAAAAATTTTCTTCTCATTAAATGCTTGGGATATACTTTTTAAATCGATATTATAAATTCGCTATACTTAATTTAAATAAGCTAGGGAATATATTCAACTGATAGGTAGTTTTCTATTGATATATACATATGGTTCATATATGATTGAATTTTTAAGGAAAAAGGGGAAGTCAGAGAATAAATATGATTTTGAATCAAGAATATTTTTATCCTTGGATTTGTGTAGAAAATTTATATACCATTTTGTTTTGATTTTTTTTTAAGAATGCCCTAC